AGTTTGACCCCGAAGATCTGGAGGCACCAAATCTGGCGGCAAGGCCTTGTTGAAACACAAGAACGGGTACCAGCAGCTGGGCAGGCGCAGAGTGTAAAAGAAACACCGTAGATCCTCGCTCGATACCACCATCGATTCATGAGGCTCTATATGGAAAGGGGTCATCCCAAACCAATGCGGCAGGGTTGCTATGTCCCCGTGCAGCCCTTGACATAGGGAATTGAGTGGCACTAAATTCATAATAAGGCGGTAGACAGGGATGCCTTCCACCTCCTCGTGTTTCTCAACTCCAAACAGTCCGTTTAGCAATCATTTGCCATGCACCCGGAACACCTCCGATTCAGGGATTACCCCGAAGATTCCTGCCTCTAGCAGCCCTGCGGCTACCTCTGACCAGTCTCTGTCTGTTACCATTACCTTTGCTTTGCGCACCTGTTCCCATTCATGGGGTGGTTTGAGAAAGTCTGGAAAATGTTCAATGTAATGCTTGCAACCCTGTTCACAGATATCCTTCAACTCCACCACCCCAATCTCGCGGGGTATGGCTGGCTTGATGTTTTTCCATGCGAATTGCTGTGCTGTCTTGACCTCATCCCCCTTATAATCGATGGTCCTCGTCCTGAAAAAAGAGCTCCAGTCACGTCCCGGGCGATCGACCGGAGGATGCGGGAGTGCACCTCCGACACCTTCCAGGGCTCCACTTCGTGGTGTCCATCCTGCAGTGAGGCGGCTGTACAACCCCACAGTGAATTCAATCCCAAGCACGCGGCAAGTACCCAGTCAACGATCCAAGGGTCTTCGGCTTCGAGTACGTGGGCGATCTGAGTCGACGGGCAGGCAAAGGAAAGGTGCACCTAGCCCTCAAAGGTTCAGGTTCTCCCCCCTTCACCCCTCAGAAAAACCCAACCAGATCTCCCCCCATCTCCCAAAGCCTCTTGCCACACGACGTTGCCCCGAAGCGTCCAAATCACCTCCCGGGTGGTTCATCGTCTCCTCGGGCTGTGCACTTGCGGCCTCAAACGATGGAAAACTGCATGGAGGCAGTGGAGGGAATGGTACATCCTCCGATTCTGCCTTTCCAGGGTGCATTCCCCCGGTCGTAGTGCTGTATGCTGAAGAGGCCTCTCCAGCTAGGCCTGATGTCTGCCGCTTCATCTGGTTCAGGAGTTGGGCCAGGATCGGCAACGGGATGGACCTTGGAGCGCAACATCACTCAGATACTTCAGACAAACTCTCTTCCGCAAAATGTCAGGTCCGATGTGCAGAGAAGCCCTGACGCTTTCGACAATAGGAGATCAATTATTGAAGGGCATGGTGCCGGGGGCACTAGACACCCTGATTCAGCGGCTGAAGTCGCGCAGGCATCCGGCCTTGCGTGGACATCATCCCAGCGGATGGAATTATTGCCTCCAGACGGAGCCAGCCTTCCGTCGAGACAGGAACTCTCGATAGCAGCCGCAGAGCATCGTGCGGAAGTGAAGGCCCATCAAGCAGGAAGCTGGAAGGACTGGGGCAAAGGCAAGGGAGGAAAAGCAGAAAAAGACGATGGCGCCAAGGGGAAAGGAAAAAAGGGGAAAGCAAAGCCCAAGAAGGATTAGAAGGTGGCAGTCGACAGAGGAGCTATGACACTATGAACCAGGCGGGAGTGCCCTGACAATGGCAATTTACAGCCGGGGCAGCGAGCGACTTCGGATGCCCAGGGACGTGATACAGTCAGTACAGCAAAGGCCCTGAGGGATCGGGGGTTGAACCCTGTTCTGGATTCAGCGAATGGTGGTGAGGCCCGTGGTCCTGCATCTGTTCGATTGCCTGTGCACTGAGCACGCCTGGGAACTGCAAGGCGATTCCTCGGATTCGTTGGGGTTCGCCAAAAACCTGATCTCCCTTCAGGGCCAACTCTCCCCCGTCGTCCGAAGATGCCGACTTGCTCTCGTCCTTGGTGTGTTGCGATCGCCGAGCTAACCGTTGGGCTCGACGACGTTGCTTCCTTCTGATCCGGGCGTTCGGGTCCATCCCTGACCCCCGGAACATCACCTCCTGAGTCACGGCCTTGAACTCGATGCTTGATGAACTGCTCGTTGAGCTGGATGAGCTGCCAGGGCTTTTCCCCGTGTCCTTTCTCCTCTTTGTTCTCCTCTTCTTGGCCTTTTCTTTCTTTGAAGCCTCGCTTTTGGACCGGGATGACCGGCCTCGCTTTCTCTTTTTCTTCTTCTTCTTTTTTCCTCTCTTTTTCTCCTTCTCGGCCCTCTCCTTCTTCTCCTTCTCCTCGATCTCGGCGGCGGCTGCAACTGCCCCAGGGCTTGGACCCCCGATGCCATCCATCTTTGACCTCAAGCCCGCTAGCTCGTCCTCTCCTTTGGGTCGACCCTCCAACAACACGTCTCGCCAGGGGACTCCGACTAGCTCCTCTAAGGTCTTGACGCTCCGAAGCTCGCTGCAATGCAGTAGGCCTGGCCCCTCTGCTTCCCTCGAGCACCCTTCTGGGCAAAGGTGTACGCAGGCCGGGGTGGTCGCACCAGTGGCCCACATCAGGAGGGGTTCGTGATCGGTGCCATGAAGCCGTACTGCCAGGTGTCGTCCCGCAGCGTCCCTCGTGTCCTCGAGGATGCGGCCGGTGAAGCGGACGCGCCCCTTCGGCTATCACCAGATCGCCCACGCTCGGGTCCCATGTCAGGGTATCTTCGCCCCGGACTTCCGCTTCTTCGTGATGAGCTGCAGGTCGAAGTATGCCACGCCTCCGTCGATCGGGCCCTGCGGCCGCTGCAGGCCTTCTCATTTTCGGCGCCATTTGCCTTTTCCTTTCCCCTTTGGACGTCGTCCGGGTTCACTGTATCCCAGGGTCTGCCCCCGAATGATGTGCTTGCATGACTCCTTTCCACTTCTTCGCCGGTTGAGGTCGTCGATCACGGTATCCCGGTGGTGACCTGGATGGTGTACGAGGACGCCTCGGCAACGAATGGCAACCTCCGTATCAGGGCTGGCCTCGTCGTTGCGAGGTGACTCGATGTCTTCGTCGTCTTTCTCCTCTGTCTCAACCTCTGCTTCTGCCTCGGCTTCCTCCACTTCGGCCTCTTCTTGTGTTGCTACTTCTTCCTCCTCTGGCTCAGGGGTAGGTTCCTTCTTTACCTTTTTGCGTTCTCGTCTTCTGCTCCGGCTTCTTGACTTTGTCTTCTCCTCCCGCCGTCGACGTCGATGCCTCGAGGGATTTTCAGGAGTGTTGGTGGCCTCCGGCTCCTTCTCCTTCTTCGCCCCGCTTGCCGACGATGCTCGAGGATCTCGCTCACCAGGGTGGGCCCCCGCGGCCAACTTAGGTGGTAGCTTGGCCTTCTCGACCTTCCTCACCTCCACCAGATAGCCTTCAATGTCCACAACACCTGAGGTCCGGCCGCTCTCAAAGGCCTCTGTGTCAGCCTCAAGGGTGTTCAAAGCCTTTGCCAAATAGTGGGTGAGCTCCTCGGCCTTAGCGGGAGGATACCTTGTCTGAACCACTCGCTGGACTCTCTCCGCGAGATAGCAGGGGTTACAGTGCCCCGATGTGCCGACTGGCAAGCGAAGCCGGTTGTGACACCCACGGCAGGTCATCAACCGGTGCTAAGAGCCAAACACTACGGAACCATCCAAGGTTGTGACTAGTCTTTATCCCCGGGGGCGGGGCACCATGTGATAGAGTAATAGAGAACACAGAAATGGAGCAATAACATACATGAATGAGTGACATCTTTTAGGGGCCTGCAAACATCCTCCTCAACCAAGGCACCAAGGAGGTTGGCAAACCATTGCGGGGGCCGAAGCTGCAGTCAGTTTGCAAGCGGACCTGGAAACAAGGTTCAACACGGTGATGCTCAGCTGGCGTATGTTTAGCCAACACCGAACAACCCAAAACTCAATGTGGTGCTTCTTATTGCTGGACATCATACTGAATCATACTTGTCTGTTGAATCCACCTGTGACGAGTCGCCTCCGTAGCTCCACGGCTTTGCTGACTTGGCCACACCTTTCGATGAACTTGCTAGACTGCTGCACATTTTGAACTGGCGACCTGATGAACCTTCTTTTTCGCATCCTAGCAGCCAGCTGCTGCCAAGGCTGGGGGCTCCTTATCCCTGCTTCAACTTGATAGACGCGCACATACCTTTTGTTCATGTGTGCACCGCTTGCCCTCCCTCCCTCCCTCCCTCGCTCACTCGCTCGCTCGCTCGCTCGCTCGCTCACTCTCTCTCTCTCTCTCTATCTCTGTCTGTCTGTGCTTTGTGTGTTTGTTTTCTTTATTCTCTGCTCTAAGGGCTCCAAACCCCAAGGCCTGTGATTCAGGCCGCAAACAAAACAGGGCGAATAAGGAGATGTGAGACCAAACATCCAAAGAAATAGTTGCAAAATGTTGAAAGCCAAAAACCCTCAAGAAGAGTTTACAGTGACACTCTGACCGGTTTGTGTTTGTGAGGAAAAGAAAGCCATCTCTGTGTGTCTGCTATCTATCTATCTGTCTATCTATCCAAATTTATATCTATATTTATATCATTTATATCTATCTATCTATCTATCTATCTTGCCTTATGTGTTTGCAAAGAGTCTTCCGGGCTCCAGGCTCCCTAGCAAGGAACTACAAGTGTGTTTTGCATTCCCTGCCTTTGCATGCTCTTCCATAGCAGGATGTTCATTGACCCCAAGGGCGCAAAGACCGCTTGGAGCTGGTGGAGCGAAATGTTTTGCCAGAACCCCAACACTGACATCGTCCATGTTGCTGACAATTTCGGAAAGGGGAACTCGGTTAATGGACTGTTTTCGAGATCATGCCCACCTGACCTGTTTCTCACGGCCCCAACTTGCTGGACAACCTGACACAAATCCGTTCATGAATCATACCATACCATCTCATGACCTTGGACTTTGGATGTGACTGTAAGGAAGACACTTATTCCAACAGGTTCAGGAGCAACTTGCTCTGGCAAATGTGCAAGCCACCTTGGGTCTCTGTCTGTCTCTCGCTCGCTGTGACGGAGCCCAAGCATGTTTCACGCATTCGACAGCAATAGTACAGGCACTACTTTTCAAACTTAACACATCCACTTTGCGGACGGTTTGTATGGTCGTTTTCTTCAAACACTTTCAGAGGTGCAAGAGCCAAGTTCCTTTAGAACTGGTCAGGCTGTGGATCACAATGTGCAGTCCACTGCACTTCTGTTGGCGCACTTGCAAAACCATGCCTCTTTCTGAGGCTTCAAAAGTCCAAGCGTGAAACCGAGGCAGTCCAACCTGCCTGTTTCCGAAGTTTGCACCCGTCACCAGGACGGTTGAAAACAGCTGCTGACAGCACAGGGTTTTGCAATGAACACGCACGCTGCCACCGCAGCAGCCAGCGGCAAGCACGCCGAAGCTGAAGCATCCGGATCTGAACAAAGAAATTCAACATCATCTACAACTTTGGGGTGTGGCCGTCAGCACAAGAGCCGGCATCGGAGTCATCACTGTCTCCCAAATTGTGCGATGCGAAAATGAAGCCTATGTGTTCATCGGTCATGCTGTTGCAACCTCCGCCAAGCAAACGATGGCAAACATGACCAAACACGACAACACAAACAAAACTGCGCGCCTGTGAGGGCAGAGAGTTGTTCCTTTATCTGTTTCAGTTCCACCTCCATGTAGGCGTGGAACTTGCCTCATGAAATCGCAAATTGAAAACAAAAAGGGGACCCTGCTCAAAGAACCAAGAGATGCACACAAAGCTTGAAAGAAACTGTTTGCCATTAAGGTTCCTTGGGTTTTGATCAACCAAGTTTGGTCGTTGATGATCCTCCCAACATCCATGGCGCTTGCTTGACCACGCAAACGGAGACAACCCATCAAGAATTCTTCCACTTCCACAGCTCCGCCATTGTCTTTGTCCAGAAGCTTGAAGAAAGTCCAGGCATCCCACACATCAAGACCCAAAGTCTGAAAATATTCACCTCGGCCGGCACACCACTCAACAATTCGGCAGCCCTTCCCCGCTCCCACCAAACGAGGGAAGCAACAACCACCCCCAACAAAACGCGCAACTAATTCTTGCCAACGCACGCACTTCTGGAGAGTTTATTTTCTTCTGAAACATGCTGAATGTGATGACGCCGTCATCTGCACCAAATTTGCTGAAAAGGTCATGGATTTTTTCCAAGTGCGCCTCCTTGTTCGCAAGCACCGCATGCACTTTAGAAGCATGGTCATTTTGCGCACCATCTATAGCTGACTGACAAAATACCGCAGTCAACACATTGAGCACTGCAAAATATGTAAACGCCTGACTGGCCAGCAAAGGCGGGCTGTAAGGTAGAGTGTGTTCAGACGGGAAGAAAACAAAGAACGTTTCCACCCAAACCACTGCAACCAAGAACATGTTCAATGGCGAGGTGTTCTGGCACACCATCCAGCATAAAAGCTGGGAAATGTTCTGAAATGTGTTCTGACATCCTTTTTAAAGTGAATCCTGCTATTCTCATGACAGAGAATCCCGCGCAGTGCATGCAGCAAACTAGCGATGTTGTCAAAAGGGCAAACGACAAGCGAGGGTCAAATAGAAATCAAAGTTTGAACAAGCAGCCGCAGTAAAGCAATACTAGCAGCAGGGGTAGCAGTCTTGTCGTCGTCGCCGTCGTAGAAGTCGTCGTCCTAGCGGCAGAAGCAGCAGTAGTAGCAGCAGCAGAAGTAGCAGTAGCCGTAGCCGTAGCAGTGGCCGTAGCCGTAGCAGTAGCCGTGGCAGTCGCTGCCGTCGTCGTCGTCGTCGCCGTCGCCGCCGTAGTCATAGCAGTAGTAGTAGTAGTAGTAGTAGTAGTAGGAGTAGTAGTAGTAGTAATAGTGGCAGCTGTGGCGGTAGCAGGAGTAAGCTTAGCAGTAGCACCGGCAATAGCAATTTTTCTTCTACATCACTAAGCATCCTTTGCTCAGAAGGTGTTCTTCTTGCATCATTTGCGCATTTGCTCAGAAGGTGTTCTTCTTGCATCCTTGGCTCAGAAGGTGTTCTTCCTTTTCTGCCTTTCGCAGGGTTGAGACCAGGATTCTTTGAGAACCAACTGCCCGGTTGAAGCTTGCTTTCTGCAGCGCTTGCATTTGTGCCTGGCGCCTGTCCACCATAAGTCATGGCTAGGATGGACTGTTGGGAAGTCGTTGCCCTGTGTGTGGCATTGGGCTTGCGCCACTTTGCTGGCCTTAGTGTTGTTCCACCACCAGTGGGGAGCTTGGGACAGCTGAGCGGTTTGAGGGGCTTGGCCAAACCTGGGACCTCCTCCTTCTTCCCAAGCCAGAACTTGACAACCTTAATTAGTCTTTGCTGGATGTTGTATTGACTGCCATCAATCCACTCCGCCATTTTGTTTGCTAAGTTGTACCAGATCCATGTGGGAAGGTCTGGATTGCTCCGCTGGAATTGTTGAGTTTGGTGATGGGCCCCCACAGGTCCATGTTGCTGGTTGCCTTTGGCTGGGGAAGCTTCTTCCACCTTTTAAGCACAGCTTGGGCATCTATGCTGCTTTCCAGCGGGCCCGCGGTAAATTTGATGAGCCACAAGAGGGCTGCTGCTTCTGCCCGGGGCACTGTTTGTGATCCCTGAATGCTGCCTGTGTGTGGCAACAACTTGGCGGGTGTCTTTGTCAAGAGCAACAACTGCAAAGCTGCATTGCCTCAGCCTTTTGTCTTTGGAAGCGGGTCCGCCTGACCCATCCGCGCCAAAGACCAGGTTGGTGGTGGGAATGGGCTTCATCTGTTCCCAGAGGCCTGTCCCTGTTACTTGTTCTGCGCCTGCCCCTTCAACTGCGTACATTGGGATGGTAGCTGTTGTTCTCCAGGTGGTTTCCCCAGACTGGTGGGATTGGGTGTTGTTTGAGGACCTCTCTGGACATTGCCACAGTCCGTGGCGCAATGTATCTTGTGGGTGATTGCAGAGCGGGCATGGGCTTTCTAACCCAAGCCAGGCGTGGTTGAAGAGCGCTCCTTGCAAGACCATGTCCAGGGTGGGAATCGCTGTGGGATCTGTCTTTTCTAGATGTGGGTGCCTACGGTGAGGTCTCCTCTGTGGCTAGACCTTGGCTGCCTGGTCTTTGGGCTGAGTGGGCCCATCCTGCTGCTTCTGTGAAATTCTGAAACTGTTCTGTGAATTCCCAGGGAAGGTCCGGGTCTGTGAAATCTGGAGCCGATTCAATACCATCTGGGGCAGTCCACATGTGCATGTTTGGAGCCTGCCATTGGTTGTCCTTGAGGTATGCAATGCAAACTGCGAGGGGTCCTTTGACTAGCCCCCAGTGGTTGGGTTTGCTGCATAGCTCCTTGGCTAGGGATTGCCACACCTGGTTGCACATTTTGAGCTGAATGTTGCTTTTCTTTTGCAAAAACTTGAAGACCATCAGGAAATGCTCGGTGGGTATGGAGATTCCATGAACACTGTTCTGATCCTGAGCGTTTGGGCTTGGGCCTTGCTATAGCCCATGGTTTGATGCCCAAATTTGACTGCTGGCGTTATGTTGGTGTAGGTGAATTGCCATGCCTTTTGGGGAGTGCCCTGAGTCTAGCCAGTCTTCTCTTGCCTTTTTGAAATCTGGCTTTCTGAGTGGGAAGTCTTCTAAGTCGTCCTCCGGTGGAGTCACAGCTGGGGAGCGCTTTCTTTAGTTCATTGGAGCTGACAAGAAAGCCTGACTTGTTTTTGCTGAGGATGAGATTCATGTCTTGCCAAGCTGGGCCAAGACTTTGGCTAAGGTTTTTGGCACATACTGGGGGCTTTTCCCTACCATGTCAACTGAATCTGGTGGCTGTCCATCTGTGGTCAAAACTGCCAGGAAGAGCTTCTGATGCTATGCCTCTTCGGTAAGCCAGGGAGACTCCACCTGAGGTGCCTCCAGTGTCCAGAAGGTGTGCTTCCTGTATGTATGGCTGCCATTGGTGGTTAACCCAGCCAGCCTTATAGTGCTGCCATTGGTGGGGCGCCATGTGGTGCTCTGCTATGCCACAGATTTTGACTGTTGCTGGCCAGTGCCCAGATGTGCTGCTGTGCTTCTTCACTCCGCCTGGTGATGTTGGCAAAGTATATCTGAAGCTCCTTTGCCTGAGCTTGCTGTGCGTTGCATGGTGCAGGGAGGGGTGGGTGCCCTGCAGGGCTACCCTGTGAACCCGGCGCCTTGCTCCATGTAAGCGTCGGGGTTGAGGGGCTCTGTGTGTGCGCCAAGGCCTGTGTGTTCCTCTTTTTCTGTCCTGCATCTTCCAAGATCTTGACCAATGGTATGGAGGAGTCGTTGCTTGTCATCATCGGTGGTGATTCTCCCTGCCAGCAAGCCTTGGAATGTCTCCATGTGGCTCTGGATCTTTGGGCTCCCTGTCTGGATGTCTGGGTTGTCTTGGAGAGCATCCATTGTTGTGTCCAGCAGCCTGGGCTGGAGAACAACGTGGGCATAGTGCTGTGAGATTCCTCCATCTCTTGATGGCATGTTTGGAGCTTTGCCAAGAGCGTTTCCTTGGCTTCCACGACTTGGGCCACTTGCTTGCGCAGGGTCTCCTCTTTGTGCTTCAATTGTAGCTTCTTTTGGCCCAGGGCTCTGAGCTGGCCACTGGTGGCTTTGAACTTGTATGCCACATAGGTGGGATCATTGAGGTCTGGTTCCTGTGCCATCTGTTGGAGCCCCATTCATTCCCTTGAAGGCTTCCTGGACTTCGGGGGAGAAAGTGTCCCAATGTTTCTGAACCAAGCCTGCGACGTCTGTTTCCCATGGCCAAGTGCTCTAGATCGGGCCCTGAGTGACAGCTGGGGGTTCGTCTGGTGCTCCTGTTGGAGGTTGAATGCCTGGACTAGATGAATTTGACCATTCTGCTGCCAAGCTTGCGCGCTCTGACCAGTCTGCTGCATGCGTGGATCTTGCGGGGTGTCTGGGGAGGTGCCATGAAGAGGATGCCTTGCCTGGGCTGGTGTTTCTTGGAATCCATGGTGTTCCACAATGACAGAAGAGCCTGTTAGGCACTCGCTTGGCCCACATCCAGCCGCCACAGCCACACACCATATAATATAAGCTTTGCCATGGGACATATTGGATCTATCTTTCCTGACGCCACTGTTTACAGGTAGGCACCACAGAGCCGAATTTCTAGCAGTAGCACTAGTCGTAGCACAAGGTTGCAGAGCTCGTTGCCCCATGGCTTTCCGGGCGGATTCCACGAATAAAGCCGGACCCTGGCACCACGCAATCAATCCTTTCAGACCCTTCATTGTCATATTGTCTTGTCTTGTCTTGTCTTGTCATGTCATTCTTTCTTTCTGTGTTTCGTTCTTTCTTTTCTTTTCTGTTCTTTTCTGTCTTTCTTCCGTCTGTATGTATTTCGTTCTTTTTGTCTGTCTGTCTTTCTTTCTTTCTTGCTTCCTTCCTTCTTCCCTTTCCTTCCTTCCCTTTCCTTCCTCCCTTTCCTTCCTTCCCTTTCCTTCCTTCCCTTTCCTTCCTTCCCT